CATATCAATAAAATACAATTAAAAGCTGTTCATACAATAAACATTGAGATAAGTAAAAATAGATTGAGAATAATAATGAATGGCAAAAGCATTGCTAAAAATATTTGCATAAATAAATACAAAACCAGATGGAGTTCTAGTAAAACTTCATTAATTGATTAACTTTAGATTTAATCTCAATAAAACTGTTACTATTTCATATAAAAACACTTATAGTGATGATTTTCTTCCTAATCACATATAATTCAAGGTGGTCTACACATTGTGTCAATGTTACATCCTGTTAACAGAACCATATAACAATTTGTATACATATTGATTCTTCTAATTTGGTTTAACACTTCATATATCTCAAATATTTGATACAAAGCCTGTCATTCCTTAAACACTTGATCGTTTATAGTGGAGAAAAATTGCTCAGTTGTATTTAATTCTGTTTTCTGTAACGAGACAAGAATATTAGTGAACATGTTATATTACATTTTTTTTTACATATTTACATATTTTTTTAATATTTACATATCAAATATCCAGTTTGTCATTTTGTAATATCTGTCTAATTGGCACTTATTTATTAGCTCCTGGGTTCCTCCTGCTGCTATTCTAGTGTAGCATACACAAATATAGCATATAAAATATGTCTGTTTCAGTATTTGTGTCTGTTAGTATGTGTGTTTTGTCCTGAAGCATGAATGTGGTGTGTCAAGAGTACCTTGGTGATTGTTATGTATTATGTGTATGGACATTGTGACGGAACACTGGCACTCCGACTGAGTACCTCCGCCAATCGATGCTCCTAGTGCTCGCTGAGGACTCCAAGCACTCCAACCGACACCATCAGCACTGCAAACCCCACTTCCAGCGATGCAACTGCGCCGGGGTCTCTGCTGTTTCCACCCACCCTGGACCCAAGGCCAGGATCCAGCTTCCAGTGGGTGAACCTCTCTTTCCCCAGAGAGCAGGAACAGGAACAAATGAAGCTATTGCAAGAGCTTCCTCTGGGGAGTAAGTGATTATAGCAATCCCCAGAGTGTAGGTATCCCTTCTCCCAAACATGAGCCAAGGCTTAATGCTGGAACAAGACTAATTTACTGGCACACAGAACTCACAATTTATGCAACACAAAACTCCTCCTCTGGGCCAGGCTAGATAATTGAGTTGCTACAATACACAAAGCTCAATTATCTGCTGGCCAGATATATTACAGTTTCATAAAACACACAGGGACCCCAAAACATGCAATAACCCCATAAAAAGTATATCCTTGGAACCGGGGGATCTGGGTGAACCACATATCCAAAATTCACCCAGATCCGTTCAGTACTTTGGAAAATACAGTTTAATGCAGATTCTGCAGAACATATACAGGCTAAATAAAAAACAATCACTGTATAATGTGTTCCCTGCTGTATAGTCCAAAACCACCGCACGATGTCTCTGTGCAACAAATACTGGCGAGATGGCACCGTGTTGAAAAGTCCAAACAGTGTCTGTGAGTTAAAATGGCGCCATCCATTGTTCTCACCATGTGCTTCTGATACAGGAAATGGTGGCCACCCAGTAACTCCACAGTATGTCCCCAGATGGTTCTTAAAGGGCCAGCAGCAGCACAACACAAATCCATTATGCCCAAATCATGTCTTTAAAGGGCAATACATCCCAGGGGTCATAGTCACAGGGCAAGAGGCGGGCAAGCAGTCCTCTCCAGGCACAAGTGGCGAAGGGCACTTCGTCACACATCTTCCCTTTGGGGGAAGACTAAACAGGTACCTGACCTTCTGCCGGTCAGTACCTAGATTAGTCGGGCAGCCCACCCACAAAGAAAAATACGCAGAGTAACCCCCCCACAATAAATGGTACTGGCCTGTAGGTTCAAGTTTGTAGTGGGACAGCGCAGCACTCTCGGTCTCCCTGGTGCAGCTAGGCAAACTGCTGGTGTTGCTTGGGGGCAGAGGCCAGCGGCGCTCTGCCCTGCTGCCAGCTCTTCCACTGGGGTAACCCGTGGTAAGTCAGGCTCTGATACAGGGGAAAAGGGGGGGCAGAGGCTAACAGAGCTCTGCCCAGATGCCAGCTCTTCTGCTGGGAGGGGGTCAGTGGGTATCGCAGGCTCATCCACTGCCCCCAGGACCCAGTTGGGATGTAGCTGGGGAGGGGAAGTTTCACTTACCTCCTCCTCCTGGCATCCCTGCGGAGTTGGTTGGGGATCTGGACGGCCCGTCCAGCCTCCCTGTAGGACTGGCACAGAGACCGCGGTCCCATCTGTGCCAGTGTGGTTAGGTTTGTCTTCCCCCTCTCCCGGTATCTCTGGCTGCTGTTGGAGGGGGAGGCTGGTTGCCCCCACTCCCCAGGACACTGGTTGCTGTAAGGTGGAGGGATCAACCATCACCTCCTCCTGGAACTCAGGCCGCCGCTGGGGAGAGAGACCAGTTGTCTCCCCTCCCTGTATATTATACTGCCGCTGGGGACCTGGGCTGAATGCCCAGCATCCATGTAGGGCTGGCAGAGAGACTTCGGTCCCATCTCCATAGTTGTGGGGCTTAACATCTCCCCTTGGTGAGTTAGGCTGCCGCTGGAGAGAGGGTGTAACAAGCTCCTCTCTCTGAACTGTAGACTGCCGCTGGGGAGAGGGGGTAACCTGCTCCTCTCCCTGACACTCTCTTTGCTGGTGGAGAGGGGCACCAACTGTCTCCCCTTTCAATATTTTGTCCTGCGGCTGGGGTGCGAGACAGACGGTCTCTGCTTCCTGGGGTACACACTGCCGCTGGGGAGGAAGGACGACACCTTTGGCTCCCTGGGATACACACTGCCACTGGGAGGAAGGATGGCACCTTCTGCTCCCTGGGGTACACACTGCCGCTGGGGAGGAAGGACGGCACCTTCTGCTCCCTGGGGTACACACTGCCGCTGGGGAGGAAGGACGGCACCTTCTGCTCCCTGGGGTACACACTGCCGCTGGTGAGGAAGGACGGCACCTTCTGCTCCCTGGGATACACACTGCCGCTGGGGAGGAAGGACGACACCTTCAGCTCCCTGGGATACACACTGGCGCTGGGGAGGAAGGACGGCACCTTCAACTCCCTGGGGGACACACTGCCGCTGGGGAGGAAGGACGACACCTTCAGCTCCCTGGGATACACACTGCCGCCGGGGAGGAAGGATGGCACCTTCAGCTCCCTAAGGGACGCACTGCCGCTGGGGAGAGAGACCGGTTGTCTCTTCCCTCTGTACGGTGCACTGCCACTGGGAAGGGAGGTCGCTGCTCTCCTCTCCCTGTAACTCACTCTGTCGCTGGAGACGGGGTGTCAATATCCCCAAACTCCACAGTTGGTACTCGAAGTTCCGTGCGTCTTGGTTCTCAGCACTCAACATGCGCATCACTTGATGGACCACCTCATCTGAAGGGTTTGGGCCAAACCAGACCAGCCACGCCTTTAATTCCTTCATGAAATCAGCACCCTCATAGCACTGTGACAGGCGGATTTGCAATTCACTGGCTGCTGTCCAGGGTCTTGCTAGCTCCATGTTGCTGTAGGTAGGGACGCTGCGCAGAGGCTAGCGTTGCCCTCAATTATAAATCCATAACTCCACACGTTACCGGTGTCTCCGAGCTGCTGGTCCTCGCACTAGGACGCCATCCCGCAGCTGCCACCAAATGTGACGGAACGCTGGCACTCCGACTGAGTACCTCCGCCAATCGATGCTCCTAGTGCTCGCTGAGGACTCCAAGCACTCCAACCGACACCATCAGCACTGCAGACCCCACTTCCAGCGCCGGGGTCTCTGCTGTTTCCACCCACCCTGGACCCAAGGCCAGGATCCAGCTTCCAGTGGGTGAACCTCTCTTTCCCCAGAGAGCAGGAACAGGAACAAATCAAGCTATTGCAAGAGCTTCCTCTGGGGAGTAAGTGATTATAGCAATCCCCAGAGTGTAGGTATCCCTTCCCCAAAACATGAGCCAAGGCTTAATGCTGGAACAAGACTGATTTACTGGCACACAGAACTCACAATTTATGCAACACAAAACTCCTCCTCTGGGCCAGGCTAGATAATTGAGTTGCTACAATACACAAAGCTCAATTATCTGCTGGCCAGATATAATACAGTTTCATAAAACACACAGGGACCCCAAAACATGCAATAACCCCATAAAAAGTATATCCTTGGAACCGGGGGGATCTGGGTGAACCACATATCCAAAATTCACCCAGATCCGTTCAGTACTTTGGAAAATACAGTTTAATGCAGATTCTGCAGAACATATACAGGCTAAATGAATAACAATCACTGTATAATGTGTCCCCTGCTGTATAGTCCAAAACCACCGCACGATGTCTCTGTGCAACATATACTGGCGAGATGGCACCGTGTTGAAAAGTCCAAACAGTGTCTGTGAGTTAAAATGGCGCCATCCATTGTTCTCACCATGTGCTTCTGATACAGGAAATGGTGGCCACCCAGTAACTCCACAGTATGTCCCCAGATGGTTCTTAAAGGGCCAGCAGCAGCACAACACAAATCCATTATGCCCAAATCATGTCTTTAAAGGGCAATACATCCCAGGGGCCATAGTCACAGGGCTATAGGCGGGCAAGCAGTCCTCTCCAGGCACAAGTGGCGAAGGGCACTTCGTCACAGACATAATAACCTTGGCTAGGGCACATTTACTTATTCTTAATCTTATAAATCTGTCTCATGCTACCCTAGTACTGGCAGACTCAGATCATTTAAAAATTCAATATTAATATCACCACAAACTCAAGATAAGCAGATGATCCTGAAGAGGCTTTGACTGTGCGTAGGCACCTAAGACGTAAGACGAGGGCTGCAGGGTAAGGAG